TTTTGAAATCTTGCCAAGAAAACTGCAGGGACTTGTCCAGGAAGTCGCCAGGAGTCAGCAATGACTTGAAGGCGCGCGCGCACACACACACACACACACAACTATATATTTACATTTTTGTTGTACTCACTGTAACCTGCTATTACAGATAGGTCTCACTTATACCACTGGTCATGTTAAAAAAAATGTAACTCTACTACCAGCCAAGATAAAGCAGGTGATAATTTGCATGCACCACAACTTATACTTACACCTGAGTTAATTATTACTTATTATCAGTAAGAGCCATTATGTTTTCAAGAGAGTGGTATACTTTAAAGCTTGGTTCCCTTCGGATTCATATATTGCAAGGTCTTAAAAAGCATTAACAATTTGCACTATACACCCAATTAAATGTGCAATAAAAACACCACTGTGTTTCCTTGAAGAGAACAAGAGTAGACAATATGCCATGAATGTCTGCCTGAACTTTTTAAATTAAAGAACGTATTAGATCTAGCTAGCTCAGTAACTACAGCCAAGATCAACACACCTTCCTAAAGATTCTAAATACAATGTCATTCTCCAATCTCTCTGCCTAGGCTCCACTTTTATCCCCCACAGCAGGCATTTTAATATACTTAAGAGGTGGCTTGGAGCTTGTTTGATTTCTGCTGTTATTATGCTTGTCAGCTGTGGTTCCAGTCTTGCCTGAATGCTCTGATGATGTGTACTGTGATCACATCTGTAGGGTTTATAATTCCATCCTAGATTGCTGTAGATAGTGTTTCTGGTTTGGACAAGCATGCTGCCCATTTTTCTCTAAGCTTAACTTTATACAGTCTCCTTGTTTACCAAGAAGAAATCACATCCCTCCCCTTGTGAGCTGCAGACAAATAATGGCTTGCATCTGACTTTGATCTGGCCACAGACATAGTTGCGTAGTACTTCTTTGCGATATGGGGATTGGGCATGTTGCATTTTCCCTCCTTCCCAAACATTTAACAATAGAAAAAGTAGAGAAAATGTGCAGTCCACCTACTGTAGCTCATTTTTCATTCTGGTCTTGAGAATAAAGGCTGCTATATATTCTGCTAGTTTACTTCCTCCTGGCATTAAAAAAGGCTCTGGCTACATGTCTCTTGGTTTTAAAAACTAACAAAAAAAAAAACTTGGGAAGAGTAATGTGTTTTGGAGTCAAATGAGCAAAGGTTGAGCAGTTACCTCCAATATAATTATTTACCAGATGTGACGTGTGAAGTTGTGGTTTTCTCTCCCAATTATAAATACTTGGTTGTAGTAGGCAACAAGGCAAAAAATGGTGCAAACAAAGTAAGGATGGGTAATACATCGGTCAGCTGTGGTATGTCTCTTCATGTCTACAAGGTTTTTTTTTAACTCCATTTAACTTTAACAATGACATGCCCTTCTTCTCCCAACCCAACCCAAACCAAACCAGTCTGACTGTTAATATAAAGATTAGAGAGGAAAACAAAAGTGAACTTCTGTGGAAGGCCACAGATTCAGTTTGTATAGTGACAAAAAACTCTTGACCTTGTACTCAGAAGTCCTCTTTGACTTAATTTTACCAGGTGCATGCAAAAAAACAAAGGGTCATTTTTTAAATTATCACTTTAGGAACCCACTTTTCCCTGGCACTCCCCAACCAATTTCTAGAATGGAAAATCCAAGGAGAATGTCTAATTCTACTCTAAAGATGAAATCAAATAGCTGTATCACCGTACTATAGTAGCTGAGCGTCAAGTTGTCTCTGCTTGTTGATTGCTCTGCTTTCATACATGCTACCTCTCTCTCTAAGGAGCTGATGACTTGCAATTGCAGAAATAATACTTTTGATGGAGAAGAGGAGTTAATATATTAGTTATTTGTTTTTGGTTTTTTAATTGTGTATGAATTTACCTTCAGAATAAAAGTTTTCCCTGGGCGGTTTACAAACATATGTCTGAGATAGAAAACTACTTCCTAAGGAAATCATCCATGGAACTGGGAACTGCATCAACCTGTTGGCTGAGTCTTTTATTTCATATCTGCCTGATTTTATTTCTTGTGGCGCCCTTTCTTACTGTTTGAGCCCATATCATATGTTCTGTGTTCAGTAATAAACATCATTCATCAGGTCTCTTTTCCCAACAATCCCTGTTAACTACTAATTTAGGTTAATTCTCAAACATGGACTAAGTTTTTCACAAGAGAAAGAGAACTTTGAAAAATAATTCAATTCTGGCCTCTGAAACAGGTTGAAGTCTGTGTAGAATAAGAGTGAAAATACATAAAATTGTCAAAGTGAAAACAACCAACAAATCTCCATCTTGTTTAAATCAGTGTCTTGGTTTTTCTTTTCCTTGCCTTAAATATTTGCTATCCAGGACATTTACTTGCTTGGTTTTGGAATGTTCCCTTTTTTCTTTCTCTCCCTCCTAAGGTAGAAGATTTGAAAGCCAAGCAACATCAGGGTGTGCTTTTGGATTTGTTCAGATCACGAAACATTGCAATTATGACTATTATGTCTCTTCTTTTATGGTAAGGCTCTGACAGCAGGCTGATTAAATTCAGAGGCCCAATAATCTGTTTTTTGTTTGTTTGGGGAAAGTTATGCTGTTTGGGACATTCCAATCCTATTTATCAAATGAGATTAAATTTCATTTTTTTAATTGATCAATTTAGATAGCCGCGCTACTTGGCATACAATTGAATTACCCTTAACATGTGACTTGCCCTTAAAATGTGATAAGTAGATCATAAATTACGTATGTTTTTCTAAATAATATTCTGTGCCTGGAGGACCTTTTATTAGATTGCTTGCTGATGTGTGTGATTATGATGGGATTTTTTTGGTGGAACTGTGAGCAATGGAGTTTGTACAAGCAGAAGCACTCCAACAACAAAACTGCATCAAAACACTTGTGCTTACTCCTTATCTTAACATTTTAACCAGACAAAACTAATTACTAATCAACAGGTTTAAAGATACCACCAGACTACACAATATGACACTGTTATTGTTTCCAGCCCGGCAGATCTGATAGAAAAATAATAACAATAAAAAAACAATTTAACCAAACAATGAATAATCAAGAAAAAAGGAACCAAATTAACTTTGAGCAGCAGAAATATTTTATTCCAGTCAATTCTTTGTACAATTTTCTTTTTAATAATTTCATATTATTGAAAATACTGAACTTCATGAGTATCACTCCAAGGTGGAAACTACAAGAAATAAAGTTTGCTTGTCTAAATGGCCAGTGGGAAATTAATATTAAGAGCTATTATTAATGAAAGCACTTCTTACACAGGGTAACAATAAACATTGTCACTATACTATCAGAAGGTTCAGATAACATGGTGTTGCATAGACACCATTTATTATATAAGGTTTTCCACAATCATATATAACCTGTGCTGAACAAAAGGAGCTAGTACATATTTAACTCTCAGTTCAGTTAAATCCTTTAGCATCTCATATACTGAATTGGATAATTGAGAATCCTGAGAAGCTTCCTGTCTCCCCATATGAGCAATCAGAATTTAAAATTAGATAATTTCATTGAATGGTTTGCCTCTAACAGAGGCTTGTCATAAAACAACATTAAAGATATTTTAAGAAAAACAATCAGCCTTTCCCTGTTCTCATTAGAAGGACTGTGTTCCATTTCATCCAGGGGTATTATGAATTTATTCCCCTGTTTGATTAACATACTTTTGTGTAATTATTGGAAAACAGGAAAGCAGTATCAAAACACAGATGCCTAGAGGGGTGTATGTGTAATTTCCCAATTCATTTCAATCCATTCTCATTCAAAGAGGTGCCATCTGAAATAGTAAAATAGGAAGTAAGTCTGATCTACCATTAGGCTAATTGTGCTGTGGTTTGATTAATTAATATTAAGATCATGGCTCTTTATATTTTCTCATTTCTCTTCTATTTCAGGATGTTTACATCTATTGGCTATTTTGGCTTGTCACTCAGCACACCCAATCTGCACGGAAATGCCTACTTCAATTGTTTCCTGTCAGCAGTCATTGAAGTCCCAGCCTACGTGATTGCTTGGCTTCTCCTACGGATCTTGCCTCGACGTTATACGATATCTGGCACCCTCTTCTTAGGAGGAGGCGTTGTTTTGCTCATACAGCTAGTACCTACAGGTAGGCTGGGTGTGGGTGTGGGTGTGTGGGTGGGTGTGTGGTCAGTCAGTCAGTTATTGGTGCTGTAGATGTATTGGTAACTGACAATACTGTATGAGCAGTTGGAACAAGTGTTAAAGAATTGTGGGAGATCAAGGCTATCAAGAAGGAGGGGCTGCATTCCAGCAGGGGAAAGGAGACAAAGGGCAATACAGTCCGCAGAGGGAGCGTGAAAAGAGTAAGAGATTCAGGGTTGCTACTCCCTAGAATCTCCCAGGG